CTAGGTTCTTGTGCAATACCATCAATGAAATAAAATTTGTTCTTAGCACTCAAAGCACTGATCATGAATCGACTCATGAATGATAGTTGACTTCATCAAGAACAGGAGAAACAAGATTGGTAGCAAGATTCTCACTAGGGGTGAAGAAATAAGTTATCTTGATCATGTTTCGTTTATTAAGCCAAGGTGAAGAACAAAGAAAAAGAAGCTCTTCAAAGAAAGAGCTCTAATATCATCACAAAGAAGAGAAAAAGAAGAAGAAGGAGAAAAAAAAAAGAGTGAATATTTAATATTGTATGTAACATAATATAAGGAAACCATATATATAGAATAATAATGTGAGGAGAAGAATCAACAAAAGCTTGATCATAACAAACAAAACTAGTCGTTAGCACCTATCTAAGACAGAAAATGACCGACCTAAGGTATCAGAAAGGGACTGACCTAAGGTATTAAAAAAGGACCGACCCAAGGAAGTTAAGAATAAGTATTGTTTTGTTTAGGAATGAGAGTGTAATATGTCACTTTCTACATTAGTTCTAGTTTAGAACCGATATAGAAAGTGACATTATATTAGTTTTTTTTTTACAATTGATGTTATATATATACTTTTAAAACAAAATAAAATTAATATGTATCACACATGTAAATATCAACATTTTCACACATATTCATCGGTTGAGTGTTATTTTTTTTTTAATGTTTTTCCACACAATACAATAGAACAATATCAATACTAATATACAACATCAAATAAATTTTTTTTATCTATTCTTGATACAAATTTGACATAACCAGTAAAAGAAATAGGAGCGATATACTTATCAATGATGACAATAAGAGAAAGATGTGAGACAATGCTAGAGAGCTAGTGACAACATTCTATAGAGTAGAGATGAATTTCATCTTCATTCTTTTTCACATTAGTGTGATTGATCACAATTGGATGATTACATAGTAACTTTGTTCCATTATAGTGGTTGAACGATCTTTGGAGAGGATAAACTTAGAAAAGAAGAAGTTTTGTAAAGAATGAGTTTTGTAGTGTAAAAAAGACTTTCTACATTAATTGTTAATACAACTTGTGTTATATGTGAAATATTACATTGGTTGTTACAAAAATATCACCTCATTTAGATTAACGTTGATTGTGATACAATTGATATAGATAACACGATTTAAAAATGTGAGTTTACACTAATGTTTACTATTAATGCAAAAGTTCATTCACATACCACAATGTTAATACAAGAGTTCATTCATAAAACTAACACCTATACCTCCAACTTACCAAGAATTTATAACTTAATACATTGTCTTGTACACACAAAAATCTCCTACTTACCCAAAAACACAACATCAATCAACTTCACATAAGAATGAAGAGAACGCAACACTATGATGTGTGACTATTGATGAGTCATTATATCCCCATATTTTCTTACCTTTTTGTATTTATTTTAATTAGTGTTTTGGGTTTAACTGTCTGTTATTAGTGAATTTTTATTAATTGGGCTTCATTGGGTCAATAATTCAGATTTTAATTAATTTGAATCTATTTGATCTAATTTATGCTCATTATTATTTTCAGGACAGTTTAAAGCAATTTTGGGCTTGGAAGATTAGACCAAATGTCATGCCAGTTGTCCATTAGGATTAGGGTTTTTGTTTTATTTGTTTCTGATGTGTTTTGTGGGTCAGTTGGGCTCAAACCTAGAGGCAGACTAGGGTTTAGGGTTATTTATGTTAGTGATCACGTAGGGTTAACAACCATGCGCATCACGCAGCCGTATCACGCAGTCGTATCCTCTGAATGCCATTTTCGTCTTCTGCATTTTATATTCACGTTCATTTACTCTTTTGTCATTTTTTTAAACACAATTTTTGTTTCAATTTTAATGATGTCTCTTTTTCTGTGTGTTTCAATTTTTTCATGGATAGCTAAATATTTGTATTGATTTTCTGAGGAGAATGCAATAGATCTTTGAGGTTTTGTTCTTCTATTTCATTTGTTCTCTTAACTCTACATCTTCTAATCTCAATGTGAATTATAATTTGTTTATGCTTAATAAACAGAAACCAATATCACAGTTTGCTTAATTCTGTGTTAGAGATGAGATTATGTGATGTATGCAATGCTTAATTGTATAAGGATAATTTGGGTTAATCTTCGCTTAGTTGGTTAATTTTTGTTACGAAATTAATTTGATTTAACCCTTATTCCAACCCGAAATTAACTAACTAAGCGAAGATTAACCCAAATTATTCTTATACAATTAAACATTGCATACATCACATAATCTCATCTCTAATACATGATTAAGCAAATTGTGATATTGAGCATAAATAAATTATAATTCACACTTAGATTAGAAGATGTAGAGTTAAGAGAACAAACTAAATAGAAGAATAAAACCTCAAAGATACACTGCATTCTCCTTAGAAAATCAATACAAAGATTTAACTATCTATGAAAAAATTGAAAACGCAGCAGAAGAGACATCATTAAAATTGAAACAAAAATTGTGTTTAAAAAAATGACAAAAGAGTAAACGAACGTGAATATAAAATGTAGAAGACGAAAATGGCGTTCGGAAGATGCGGTTGCGTGATGCGCATGGTCATTAACCCTACGTGATCACTAACATAAATAATTGTCCTGAAAATAATAATGAGAAAAAATTATATCAAATAGATTCAAATTAATTAAAATCTGAATTACTTGTCCAATGAAACCCAATTAATAAAAATTCACTAATAACAGACAATTAAACCAAAAACACTAATTAAAATAAGTACAAAAAAGGTAAAAAAATATGGGAATATAATAACTCATATATTGTATGCTCTAATTTCCATGACCAAACAACCCACATCCACCAAACCTCACTCATGCATCATGTAAATTTTATGTCTCATATTATAGGTACTTATTAAGAGAGATAAATAAATAATAAAAATTTAAATAGTAAATAAATAAAATAGGAATAGTTTGTGATGCCAACTATTATTTAGTAATAATTATTTTTTAAAAATTAACATCCACTTGTATTAAACAAGATCCCTTTCTCCACATATGTTTTATCCATAAAGGAAAAGAGAAAGTATAACAAAATTAAAGAAGTGGAATCTTGTTTAAATTACTTATTTAATAATTTAAATAAATAAATACTCAAGAATAATAATAAGGAATACCGAAGAGTTTTCCACTAAAAAAATATACAATTCTAACATATTTAAGAATTTAATATTTTGTTTTGATTTGATGTAATTAATACAAAATTGATCTTATATCACATTCCATAAAAAGTTACTACTATCTTATAAACATGTGTCAAAACAACTAACCATCCCATATAATTGTTTGCATGATACCTCAATCTATATCACCACCCAACAAAGCATGCATAACCTCACAGCCCTTTTACTAACCAATAACTTCACCCCAACAAATGTCAGATAAAAAATAATTTGTTAAGAAAGAAAATAAGTAAATAATTTAAAATTAAATAAAGCAATTAAGAGCAATCAATATAAAGAATAAATTGTTTTAATAGTCTACATTGAACATATAGACGCTATTCTACGAGAAAAAACGTCCCCACTGTATTAATATTATTGAATTTCTCTCCTCTTCCAAGATATGTCGTGTCAAAAACATAATTGGTATGAAGATCCTTGAAACAATGAATACTATTTTAAAATATTTAAAAAATATTAATTAAAGGAAAAAAAATTCTTTTGCTCAAGTATAATATTTTCAAATCCTATATTCAAATAGAAAAAAAAACTAGACAAAAAACATATATTTAGTTTTCTCATTATAATCCATAAATTAAGAAGAAACTAAAATATATCTTAACATGTTAATAAAAGACTTAGTAAATCAAAATTTTAATTTTAATAATAACAATAACAATAATAATAATAATAATAATAATAAATTATAATTTAAATTTTAAATTAATTTCTAAATCAAATTCATCAATACAAATTATTTTCACCTATGTTACTCGTGTGTATATATATATATATATATATATATATATATATATATATATATATATATATATAATTAATACAACTTCTTAAAATTATACTTTGGATAACTTCTTCTCGTGGTGTAATAATAGTATATAATTTTTTAAAAATTAAGACAATTTCTTAAAATTATATTTTGGACAGCTTCTTTTGGTCGAAAGAAAAAATTATTTATAAATTAAAATTAATTAATATGTAAATTAATTTATTGAAAATATATAATTTAAAAAAATGTTTTTAATTTATGCATGAATTATTTTGTAATTTTTTTCTTAAAAATGTTTATGTAAAAAAAACTAAAAAATCCTTTATATTCTAGAATTAGAATATTGTATTATTTTAAACCAATTTGATTTGACAATTTAGTGAAAGCATACGTTGAACCTAATATTTTGATGTGTTATACACATAAGTTATGTAATTATAAATTGTTACGTGTTACTGAATTAAGTTAATTTTATAGTGTTTATGTAATTTCAAATGCCATAAAATATTGAGAAATTCAGAAAGACAGGTTGTTCGTTGGTTGTCGGTTTCGCACATTCATGATTGCCATCAGAAAACGCGACATTTCAAATTCAATTTATTTTTTAAGTGCATAAGATTTTTATTTAATATTTTTTTTAAGTCTTTAATAAAAAAAATGCAAATAACACATTCTCTAAGATACTTTCTGACGTACTCTATAACTAATTAAAAATTTCCAGAAATATTTATATGTGCTAAATTGTATTACCAGCATTTCTCTTATGAAAATTAGACTTCAATGCATCGGAATCTTTACATAAAATCAAATACAACAAAAACACAAGGTTAAATCGCATATCATATTGGGCTTATAAATTATATTTTATTCATTTACAATTGCGATTTTTTTCTTCCATCCAAAGGACTTTTCTTCCATGCAAGGTCTTTGTGACTGCTATGTCAATCATCAGTGTGTGACTCTCAGATAAGGCTTACAATGACTCAGCTTGTTTTGGACTGGTTTGGATTCCGCAAACCATATTAGCTGGCATAGCTATGTCAATCATTTTAGGATATGGCAGGTTAAGATCTGTTGCACAGATCAAAAGTACCATAATTAGCAGTTGTATTAGCTACAATGCATATTAAAAAATTAGAGTTGACTAATCTTTTATAAAGTTCTGCTAGCACTTACTTTCCATGATGTTCTTGAAAGCTTCCTGCAAAACAAGGGACCAACATTTTCTACTGAGTTACTACAGAAGTAGGGGCTAACTTGCACATGTTAAAACTTATTTTAGCTACATGTTGTGAATCCAAATTCTCTCATCACACCATCAAAGGGTCTACTTTTACAAATCTCATTGCAGGAATACAAGACAAGGAAAAAATGCATTCACTTTTCATGAACATGTTTCACCAAATAGCATTTCTATCAGATAGCTGAATGAGTGATTTACAAACATATTCCATTACTCTCTTAATAATGCAGAGAAATTGACAATTAGATATCACCAACAAAGTAAACTGAGCTAATTAGATCTATCTATGTAATGCCTTTTCTACTTACTATATTTGTCAACAGCTTAGATATTACTGAGTATAGCAGCAGTTTTGCTGTAAATTGATTTCGATTTTAAGCATTCTACATCACAATTGGTGGATTGAGCACAAAAAATATGGTTGTCATCAAACATTACCTCATCCTTTGATAGGCGTGGATTGTGTTGCATCTCCTCTCCAACAGTGCTTACCTAAAATCAGTAATTTTTATGAGCAACTGACAACAAAGTTGGCCAGAGAAAAGCTTGAGGGTGTCCTTACAGTGAATCCTCTGTAGTCATGAGCTGGATAGATTAACGTACTCTTGGGTAGTGTACAAATCTGTTTCCAAAAAAGAACGTGAGCGATTCAATATTAATATCACAATTCTATGTAGAAACATCTTATATCCTTTACTTCTAAGCTGACTTTTCTATGTTTCTGTTAAAAACATAACACAATCACTGTCAAGTTCATGCCTGTGTATGGATTGATTTGTAAAGCTGCTCTGAACTCCCACCCTGCATTAGGCAGCAACGAATAAATTTGAGATGATATTGGAAAATAGCTGGTAAGATCAAAATCTATACCCAATGACATTCAAAAATTGAGGTAACATAACATTTGTTCACATAAAACTTTGAACACCCTTGAGAAGCATAACTAAGGAAAACAGGAAAGATGTATATGTACCTGAAAATCTGTCCTTCCACATCCACGTATTAATAGGGTATCTCCAGTGAATGCCATTCTTGGTTGAGGTTGATCAGGTGCATCTCCAGTAACATAGGTAACACAACCTTTGGTATGACCGGGAGTTGCACGGACCTACAGCATTAAAGAGAATAGTATATATTACAGACTACAAAATAGATGATACAATAAACCATTGATAAGCTCTCCCCACCCATGCACAACAGAAAATAAGATCCGTTTTAATCAAATTAATTTAAAGAGACAACATCCTTCATAATTGAAACAGATGAACCCTGAATGAGGGAGTCAAGATAACTTAAAAACTACATCTCTATGTGTAATCTATAATAAAAATATGATGAAATCATCCTCGAGTGTCCTTTATTTCTCTACCCAAGATTATAGTCATAACAAGCCAGCTTTCAACACTGGCACAATTTAGTTTAACATTAAGCTGCAGCCAAATTCATATCAATGATCTATTCATCAGCTTGACAGACCGGAGTCCTTTTGATCTAGATATACGGGTAGTAATGTCACAAGTTAAAAGTTTCATAGGTTCAGCATTCATTTATCAAATTTTACAAAGAAATAGACACACCAAGCAACATATATGGAACCCTTCATCCATTATCTAAGACCTAATGAAATGCAAGGTATCTTTGGTAACTCCCAGTCATTTGGAAACAACTCCAGTCATTATAACATTGAATAAACATGTTAGTGGGCAAGCAGCTGCAGACTTACTTCTAGAAAAAGGTCACCAACATGGACCTTATCACCTGGCTCCACATAAAGGTCCGCCGTTGCACCACTTGCTTTTGAAATAACAGATTTTACTCCAGGAACTTTGCTCTGTGCAAAATAAGGGGATAACAAAAACAAACTAATTTACCACCACACCAACATAATCACATCACAAGTATTGGGAAAGCTTGCCCTACCTTAAATCGTTTAGAGGGTCAACATAATCACATCCTACTTTACATTAAATTCAGTAGGGTAAACCATAGAAAACATTTTATAAACTGAAGGAACCAAGGACAAGATGGAAGTAGCAACTCAGCAGGTGCACACCTTGATAAGGCCAGTCCCAGTGACATGATCCGCGTGCACATGTGTGTTCATGGCATACACAAGCTTCAACCCCAGTTGCTCAATAAGCGACAAGTCTCTATCTACTGTCCTATCAACCGGGTCAATCAACTGAAATTTCAACAAAAAAATTCATTAATCACCAAATCATCAAAAAATAAAAGACAAAGTATGCTGTTTATATTATCGCTCAATCAGAACTCATCATGTATGAAGAATTTATTAACTCCTATATATCTAACATGATTTCTGATTGATTCATACTAAAAAAAACTTGTATACTGTGGTCTATGTAAATTAAACTCAAATGAAAAAAATAAAAAATTAAAAAAATCATCCAATTAACTAAAAGCCTAAAAAGAACTTTTTATATTGGTGTATACAAATTAAACTCAAATGAAAAAACCCATCACCCAATCCACAAAAAGCCTCCCACGCACATAAAAACACCCCACAGACATTCAACCAAACACTTCAAAATTCAAATTTTAATCCCTCCACAAACTTTGCCCACAAGAGCAAAATTGAAGAACCCTACGAGTGCTGGTTTATCTGGATGAGAGGTATCAGCGAGAAGGTAGGTGTAGGTGGAGGACTCCTTCTCAAAGAGCTGGCGGAACAAAAGCTTGGAGGAAGAGGAAGAGGAGAAAGAAGCCATTTGCGATCTGACCCTTGTGGGGTTGCGAATTGCTCTAGAAACGGAAACAGAGAGAGGATAAGGCGAGGCTTTGGAAGCAAAGAGTGCGGTGAAGTGGAACCTCAGCATATTTGGAAGTATAAATAGTCGTTAGAATGAACCGGGTGGCGTTGAAATGGGGATCGATATTGAGGTTGAAGTTGTTGGTTTGTGATTGTTAAGGAAATAAAAAAAGAGTTGGTGACGGTGAATTCGATCAAGAGGACATGGACAAGGTCGTCACTTGAAATTGTATGGATGTCACGTTGGAGGCACAAAGGGTCCTAGTTATTCATTGCCATTTGGTGGTTACTGATTTTATATTGTTGTTGTGCTCTCACATTGTGTTTTCCACTCCATTCCTCTCATTCAGAGATGATGCATATTATTCCAGAGGCAATCATTGCACGCCACTTGTTAACTAATTTGTTTGTTTGGTAATGAGAACTGACAAAGTGCTAACTTATTTATCCTTAGAATTTTAATGGAATGTAGTTAAAGTATACCACAAAATTTAATATACTTGCTAATGAATATACTCTCTCATATGGTCGTAACTCACATTCAGTTCTGTTTGTCAAAGAAAGAAAAACTTTTCATTTCTATAGAATATTTCTTTACTTCATTATTAAAAATATAATACATCTAAAATTTACTTATCTGTAATAATGGTTTTTATATAATTTTTAATATTAGTTTAATCCTCTTTAAGTAAACATGATTTTTTTAGTTAGAAGAATGTGAATTACAGTGTTTGTGTAATTCCACAATAATTTGGAAATTTTAAAATTATTGACCCATGATAGATATACCATCATCAATTTGTAATGTCTTATCATTATAGGACTATTAAAATAAAGTATACCTTATTTTATGATTAAGTAAAACACATTGTAGTACATCTTGATTTATATTTTAAAATAACCACAAAGATCTAACCTATCTTAAGTCAATAAATTAACAAATTAATTTTGACTTATTAAATATATATATATATATATATATAAATATTAACATATTTATATTAAAATAATTAATTAAAAAATATTTTCTTTTCTAAATTTTAATTATATTGATAAATTTAACTTTTATTTCATATATAATAATTTAATATATTTATTAATTTCAAGAAAAATAATTTGTACAATATGAATATAAGAATTAAAATTTTATAATTTATTATCATAATTTATTTTAACTAATTAATTTATCTAAAATAAGGATTCATCTTATGTTAATATTAGTAAATATTAGTACTCATACTTTTTTTAAATAATTAAAATTTTTATCAAATTAATTTAAAAAAATATATATAATAAAATAATATTATTTTTTATTTTTATTTTAAAAGTATTTATTATTTTATAAAACAAGTCATTTCTAAGTTTACATAAATCATTGAAATGAATATAACTAAAATAAATATGATTTAATTTAAGATACAAATATTTTAACTTTTTTTAACCTAATATGATATTTTATCTTATCAGACTGGTCCATTAGAGTACATATGTATTTAACACTTTTATATGTCACATCTATCCTTCCAAATTTAAAAAAATAGACAAAAAAATCATATTTAAGTTTTACAAAGACCAAACTAAATAAAATTTTTTATAGAAACCTTTTAATAAATAAGACATTTTGTAACGATCAACAAATAATTTAAAATGGAGTTTAAAAAGTTAAAACTATTTATATTTTAGCAGGACTAAACTATCCAAAAAACATTATAAAAATTATTTAAACATATTAATTTTTTTACAATTATTAAGATATATTGTAAAAAAAATATAAATATAACTCTTCAATCAGTATTAGTAGATGAAAAAATATTACATAAAACCTTGAAAAAGTTAACCATTCCTTAAATTTTTTAATAAAAAATTATTATAAATAAAATTGGTAGATATTTTTCAAATAAAGATAATCCTTTAAATAATTTCGATTTGGTATATTATTTTTGTTTTAAAATAAGTGAACGAGTAGGAGTAGTTTTAGAATTATTTTTCTTAATGTAAAGAGGGTTATAAATAAGAAAATAACATTGAAAATATAATGATATGAAGAAAAGGAAGAAATTTGTAACTCTTCTATATATAATTCAATTTTTATTAATATGAATGTTTCATAATTTTACTATTTGAATTTTTTTATTAATACTCTTTATTGTTGTATTTTTGTTAAGTAATATAAAATTTCAATAAAAAGTATGAATTTGTATTAAAAAAAATCAAGAAAAATATAAGTTGAAAAACAAATTAATTTAGTTGTGAAGTTGATGGTAAATTTGTCATCATTTATATAAAAAATATGAAACAATTTATTGAAAGTAGTGCTACTGGTCCTAATTTTATTCAACAAAAACTATATAGAAAAATTGAGTCAAGATCAATTATAAAAAATATTATTGAGCATAATAAAATAAATGCAATTCTTAAAAATATTTATGATTCAGTACGCATAAAAAATTAGATATTTAATGATACTACTAAAAAAGTAACATGTCTTAGTAAGATAATTTGTATCATAATTAATTTGATAACTATATTAAAAATATAATTTATATAGCAAATAGTTTAGTTTTAATCAAAGATATTAGTTTTAATGTAAATTATATATAATTAACTAAATAACAAAATAAGTTTATGTCATGCATTTCATCTTAAATACATACATTTTTATTGGGCTAATTTCAGGGGAAAAAAATAGTTAATGTTTGGATTTCGCTTTGTGACACGGTACCAACAAATTTAATTATATATTACAAATTCACATTTTATTAAGGTTTTAACTCGTAACTTAAAAAAAAAAATCCCTATCTAATAAGAACGATCGAAATTAATAAAAAAATTACTTAAATTTTATCAACTTTAAGAAATAAAAAAAATGAAAAATAAAAAATAAAAATATTATCTTCAAGATAATATTTTACTTAAATATTTTTAATAAAATTATCTCTCAATTTTTATTTTATAGATTTTTTTATTTTTAATGATACAAAAAATCAACTAATTATTTATTATTATTATCACTTTATATTTAAAATTTTCCATATCCAAAATTTTAAAAATTATAAAACCTTTATTTTTTTATAAAAATTTATATTCTAAAATATTATAAACCAGTGTTTATAAAAATTAATATTTATTTATAAATATGAAATTAATTTGTTATTACGATTAGGATCTTTTATGAATTTAGAATTAAAGATAACATATTAACAACTGAATTAATTAATAGATAAATATGTTAAAACATTATTATTATTATTTAAAAAACTAATTATAATTTTTTTTTCATATTAATTTTAATAATAATAATAATAATAATAATAATAATAATAATAATAATAATAATAATAATAACAACGTGACAAATATAAAATTTGTATATGTTATGCAATTTTCGATTACATGATCGAATTTTGTTAAATACTATTTTTTTTTATAAATGTAACTTTCATCTGTTAAATAAATTTTTATTTTTGATAAATAATGTTTTTATAGCTATCAAGATAAATATTTAAAATTTTATCTTAAAATATTATATTAAATTGATATTTAATTCTAAAAATTAAATTATTTTTAAATAAAAAAAAAGTGAAATGGTAACATTTGAGTGAACATTGCGGAAAGAGGGTCGGATACTCTAGGCCTTGATTTGAATTGGATAACTTTGAAAAAAGCCCAATAATTTTGACCCAAAAGCAAGTGCATAAGAAACAAAATAAATTATCATTTGTACAATATTTTAATATAAGCTAATATATGGCAATAGATAATTCTAATTTTTTTTTATTGTGACTCGTATATTAACTCAACTGTTCAAAATAATGATTGAGTTTTATTGATGCAGGTTTAAAATATATTCAATAATTTAAAATTAGTTTTACTCAAACAACATATTAACAAATTATATCCAACATTAACTTCTCAAATTCAATATTTGTTTTTATAATCCGAATAAAATTGAAACTTCTGCATATGTTTAGAATCTTAAAAGTATAGAAAATATTTTATCATCAGTGAGTTGAACAATTTTCTTTTTTTAACCTTAGTCATATTTAATATATGTTTCTATAATCTGATTTACTGTGTTGAAGAAATTTATTTTAAGAAAAAATTTATTAGGGCTAATTTATGTGGCATATTTAATTTCTTCAAGGCAAAACTTTTTTAGGTAAGAAATGATTCGTTGACAATAAAAAAACTATTTATTTTAATACAAGAAGTATACATAATACAAGATTACGTTTTCAAGTAAAGTAAGTTTTCATCATAAGAATATTGGTTAATATGATAAATTGTTTAAGAAAATTGCAATTTATTTTATTAACTAATTCTTATATGTGAATAAAAAAACAAGAAAAAAAGGGTAGAATGAGTTTGTATGAAAAAGAAAAAATGAATTTAACTGACCAAATAATTATTTTTAAATTAAATATTATTATAAATAATTCAATTAATTAATTATTTTAGGAAACGATTATTAAATTTTTTACAAAAATTTTACTATTCGGTCTCTAATATAATACTTAATTTGAAACAAATTTGGTCCCGAGTAAAGATATTTTACAATTTCAATAAACCTAATTTTGTTTTATGATAAGTCCCAATATAAGTCTAAGTGTATTCTTTTAATTGTTTTAATGATAATTAATAAATATAAATAGAATATTAGTGATATTAGATTAATTAATTACTTTTTGTTAGTGTGTGATTTTGTCCAAGGTGTCTTGCGACTAAGACTATTAAAATGAACTAATATAGGTCATTAAAAAAATACTATGACATATATTAGATCAGACATTTTTAATTAGGTCGAATTGATTATGAACTTAAAGATTGATATTTTATAAAATCATAATTATTATTTTTAAAAACAAATTTAACATGGTATATATATATATATATATATATATATATATATATTCAAATTATTATATTTAAAAATTAAAAAGTATTAATATAAAGTTAAATATATTTCATTTTATTTGGCACATTAATAATTAACTATTAATAAAACATACATAAATTAGAAATATGATAACATTAAAATATATAAGTAAGTACAATCCTCATTTTATT